TTTAGATCATATCCAACTTTACCCTTTATTATGTACAGCACTGCACAGAAGAGCCTTGTACATATCCCTGGTACACACTTGAGTGTTTTGCTTAAACACTCAAGTTTAAACACTCAAGAAGTAGACTTTCTGGTTCAGAGGGTGTGAGTGTTTTAGTTACCATTAATGCTGTCACACTGTCTTTGAAGGTCATTTCACTGGTGTTTGGTTTGCACGGATAGTGTATGAGAAAGCCCATTTCATCATACTTTCACCAGCAACATTGTCAGACCATCATTTTGTTCTCCCTGTCCGATGGCATCTTGGTTCCTTTTGGCAAAACAGCTTCTCAGTTTTGTTTTAATTTCTTCTTTTCCTGGTTACTCGTGGGTTTTTGGCTCTTTCTCACACTCCATTACGTTGTTTTCCTGAGTGAAGCCATAGTGTGGAAAGTCAGGCTGAAAAAAGACAGGGAGCGCAGAGAGCCAGTGGGCACATGTGGCTCCCAAATTCTCCCTTTGTGGGGCACCTAGCTCAGTGACATTTCTTTCTATACTTCATTTATTGATTTTTTTTTCCTCCTGTGGTGCTATTTTAGTAGTCTGTACACCTCTAATTTTAAAACCATGGGGTGAGGCTTGCTTTCTCGGTTGTATAATTTTTTTCTGTGTAGCTGTCTAATTTTGTGTTTTGAGTTCCTTGTGAATTTTGGCTGCTTAGTCATTGTCTTTTTATCTCTTAGTTCTCTTTGTCCTTTCCCTCATTTTTCATTCTTTTTCTTCTGCCTCTACTCCCTTGTTCCCATAGGCTCTTAAATCTTTATTCACAGCTTTTCTTTTAAGTTGTATTTTCCCCTTCCCTTCCAAGTTTAGAAATGCTTGCTCTGTCAAGGAAACATGGAAGGGAAGGGAGTGATGGAAAGGTCAGTGCCCAAATCCAGAAGGAGCTAAACCCAGGTGCCCACCCACTCCAGCTGTTTTGAGAACACGATGCTGTTCCTGATATGGTCCCTCAGCCAAAATCTGTATGAAAGAAGGAAAGACAATTGGAATTCGTCCAGTTCTCACTCTGACTCTATCTAGCTCATTGTAGGGTCCTTAAGCATGTTACTTCGTCTTTGAGCCTAAGGGTTTCTGACTAAAATGAGGAGGTTGGACCCCAGTAGTCCTTTCATACCTGGGAACCCCAATATATGAAGCATGGACTGCCTGGCAGACTGCTGCAGAGTAAGATCCCAGAGTCATCTTTATATTGGGCCACTGCCATTCCCCTTCTGCTGTGATGCCTGGAAGGAGCATCTTCAGGCTCTGTGGAACACTAGGCCATTTAATAGACTCTAACAGGGGAAGATAATTCCGCCAGGAGATAGCAGGAGTTATGGAAGGAAGGGCTGTCTGGAGGGACCTGGAGCTTTAGAGGAGATGCAGTCACTGCTGGAGTGGCAGCCTGACTCAGAAAGAGGAAGCTGGAGCCTGGTGTCTTCTCACTGTCCAGTCTCTGAACCCAGTCTCAAATTTAGGCAGGAGCCAGTTGGCAAAGAGCACAGGGGACAAGCAAATAACTGGCAGAAACAATTGAAAGGCACTGGGTCAGATGATCTTTAAACTCTCTTACATTACTCACATTCCAGAGTTCCTAGATTCCGTGGGAGATTCATGACTTCAGTGAAGATCTTAGCCTGGGGTTTTAACTGGGGGTTTTAACTGGTAGCTCTTCCTGCGAGTTGAACTACACTACTTCTGTCATTCTAGAGCCTTAGAACAGCACCCGTTCACACCTCCACTTCTGTCCCTCCCAAAGCCTGAAACAGTTACATTTTTCCTTACATGTGCTGTGCTAGTGTTTCATTGGAATCCTACTCCTGGTAGATTTTTGGCCTTTTGAAGACAAGAATATGATCTTGCTTGTGCCAGTCTCAGTCTTTATCACCAAGAGGCCTCTGGGAAAATAGGGCCAGAATAGAAACAGTATTATAGTCGATCAATCCCCAGGTCAAGAAAGAGAGAACTTGGATGTGTAGGAGGGTTGGCAGTCAGATGTTGGGCCTAATATGTCATGCATGCACCATGTGTACTCACACCTTGCTAGTGGAACTAGTTACACAGCCTCATCTAACTTCATCTGGAGGCAAGGAAGTGCCTGGAAGGAGGAAGTTAGGAATCTTTATTAGTTTACATTAATGATAGGTAGAGAAAGATAATAATACTTGACTTTTTATGATTTTTTTGACCATTAGGTAATATAAATGCTTAGTATAATGCCTAACACGTGGGGAATGTTCATTCAGTAGTAGTTGGGACAATTAATATTGTTATTTTTATTCAGCAGTTGATTACATTTTCAGTATACTTCACACTGTCCATCTACTTAATAACTATTTCTCTTCTTTTTTTCTTCCCCATGAAAGTGCAGAAGTAGACTTACCTTGTTCCTCTCTAGACGTATCATAAATTCTTAATGATGAAATTGAGTTAATGAAGTTTTAGACTCAGTCAGGGACCCCATGCTTCCAAGTTTAGGATTGACAAATATAGGTAATTGTTCTGTAAGGTGATCATTTTGTGGAGTGATAGCTTGAGTATCAGCAGTCGCTTTGGAACTCTGTTCACTGCGTTGGTTTTCAATTTAAGAGCAGCAAGCAGACTTTAAGCAGCTTTTCATTTTGAATCAGTGCAGAAATAGTCAATATATGTTATACGTCTATGAAGCTGGTGTCTGGATCAATTGCAATTAGTTTGCAGCAGATTGCATTAACATATCCAAAATTAATACAGTTGGTGTTCTGATGAAAAGAAATTGACCACAACCACACTGTGGTTGTTTTTAGTCTCTCTCAGATGTTCTTTTCAAACAGTATTTCTTTTCTTCTTCTGTTAATGGCTTTAAATTGGTTTGTCAACATAGACTTAATCTATTGATCCTTCCCCATTTGCCTTTTAAAAGTGGTCCCAGAATATGGCATATACGTACTGTTTATTCTTTCTTTAGGGGGCTTTTACTAAATGCTTTAAGCTTGAATTTTTCTTAGCATGTTACGTGAGGTGCTGTTAAGACTGCTAAGGCGACAAGGATGTTCATTTTTGAAATGTGTTTCTCAAATACTAATGTTTCATTAAGTCTTAAAATTTCAGAATTAAGATTAACAAATCATATACAGTTAAATTATTTACAGTAAATGATGTGAGCATTGTTTGTCTGGCAGTTTATTTTTGTCTTAGCATTATCTGTTTGTAAAGAAGAACTGCAGGCAACTTCAATATTAAAAATATCATTACCAGTATTTATAAAGATGGAACAAAGAGATAGCTTGAGGCTTGATCATGTGGAAATTTGATTTTTTTTTACAAGTTTGTGTAAATTATGTTACGTATTTTAGATCTGAAGGACTTTTGCTTTTCTATTTTTAGAGAAGATCAGTTTTGGAAATAAAAAATTATCTTTATCAGGGGAAAAAAAGACACAAGGCAGAATTTATTCATTTGGCTATCTAACTGGTAATTTTTGAGTATCTTCCATATGCCAAGCACCATCTCATTCTTCATAAGGACGCAAAGAATTTGAAGACACACTCTGCCTTGAGTAGAACCCAGTCTAAACTGTAAGATTCTGGAGCCTTGTTGGAATGCCTCTCATCCAGAATAGTTTCATTAGTGCATTGTAGCTTGGAGATCCCAGAAGAAAATGCCATTTTCAGGGCACATTGGAGGTCCTGAAAGCTAATGGCTCCATTTGTAAAGCCCTGCGGACCTCATTTTATGGTCTGTGTGATACTGCCTCGAATATCCACCTAGGCCCTTGACTAAAGCCACTAGGAGGTGTGTCAGGTCCTGCCACCACTTGTCTTGCGATCCATTTGTGTGATTGATTTTTTTGTGTATGTTCATTAATGGCATCATTATCCCACCTTCTGTGAATAGTGGTTCCTTTGCATCATAACTCATGGCTGGTAATGAAACTAAATCTATTCATCTATTCTTGTTTTATTCTTTACTTTTAAAACCCAAGTTTATGGATTTGATAGGGAATGCTGTTGATCTTATTGGATAAAATGAGAATTTATTTGTTCATGTCATGTCTTTTAGTTATTTTCTTTCAGTGCAGATATAAATAATTGATTAGTGCATATTGGAAAACCACTTCTACATGATGCTTAAGCAGTTTCTTTGATACACAAGTTACAATTTTTAGGGACTAGTAGTTTAATTAATGGCGACTCTTTCAGGTTATTGCATTCAACTTTGCTGTGTGAAAGAGATAATCTGATTAAACACATAATGACTACCTAGAGTTCATTAAAAACCATAGCAAAGAGATGGGTTAGTCTGTGGCCCATTGACCTCAAAAAGTTAAAACAAGTTTTTTGAGATACCTTCAGTGATTAATGATGCATATACAGTTATTAAAATAATGTTATGAGCTTTATTTATTTGGGATGGAGATGGGAGAAGGCATATGCTATGTAACAGAGTCCTCAACATTTAAAAAAATAAAGCTTTTATTGAAGTACTTATAGACTCACAGAGACCTGTGGAAATAGTGCAACAGTCCTGTGTACTCTTCACCCAAGGTCCCCTAGCGTTAACATCATATATAGTTTGAGTGTAATGTCAAAACCAGGAAATTGACCTTGGAACATTCCTGTTAACTAAATTATAAACTTTATTCATTTGGGTGCGTGTGTAGTTGTCTTTAACACTGTTCGTTAGAAAAACAATTAACATTGAGAATTCATTATAGATTCTTTTTCCTTTTGCCTTTAATATCTATGTTACTGATTGCCATTGGAGGTTCCTGTAAGACTGGCTCTGTAGGGGGTAAGGTAAAGCTCAGCGGTGGAGTGTATGCTTAGCATGAATGAAGTCCTGGGGTTCAATCCCCAGTGCCTCCATTAAAATAAACAAATAAGTAAGCCTAATTACCTCCCCCTCAAAAAAAAATAGTCTTAAGAAAAAAAGACTGGCCCTATAGGCTGACTTATTTTTCTTGCTACTAATATGTGTTCATATCTCCCCCCAATTTCTTTAGGCAGTTCAATTAACTCCCAGAAGATGGCTGAACCTGCAGGAATACCAGAGCAAGAAACTGATGTCTGACAATGGAGTGAAAGTTCAAAGATTCTTTGTAGCAGACACCGCGAATGATGCTCTTGAGGCCGCTAAGAGACTAAGTAAGCTAATCCCTAACAGGTGAAATACACCTGCCCAAATTAGTGAATTCACAGGTAGTCATTTCCCACTAGTTAAGTTTCTTTGTTGCAGGTTATACTAACAGTGACAGGTACAGTGGAGAACTTTTGAGTTATAAGGGCAAAATGCCTGATTAAGAAAACTTTATTTTACGTGAAATACCAGCATATGAGATGTCATTCTATGGTAATTTTTTCAGAGTTTCTTAGTCACCATTTCTTCTAGTTCTCTTATCTGTGGTTTAGTGACTGGGAGAAATATAGTTGAAGGGTGTAAAGTGTCAGAGAGAAGTCCATTGCAGGGTAAGTCAGGCAAGATAGTTAGCATCTTTTATTATGCCTCTTCGAACATGGGAACAGTTCCCTCTGAGTGACTGGAGGAGAGAAAGAGAAGAATGTGCGTTTGGAGTCAATTTGACATTGGTTCAGCATGTTACCCTATCATTTATCAGCTCTGTAAATTTGCATAAGTGCCTTTGCTTTTCTGTGCTTCAGTTTCCTTGTCTGTAAATGAAGGCTAATGTATTTATCTCCCAGTGCAGTTGTGAGCCCTAAGGGTGAGTGCACTCTGGTACATGGTAGAAAGTCTAACTTGTTTCCCTAGTAATTAAGAAATTAGGACTCAGATTTCCCTGTATGTTTTTCAGTGAACATTCCTTCTGGTGCTGTATACACTCTCGTTGTCAGTCTGAATTAGCACCGTCCATTAGAAATATAACGTGAGCCACATAAGTACTTTTAAATTTTCTAAGTCACCTTAATAAAAGTAAAAAGAAACAGGTGAAACAAATTTCAACAATACATTTTGTTTATCCCAGTCTATTCAAAATATTATCATTGCAGCATGTAATTAATATAAAACAATTTTCAAGGGGTTATTTTATATTCTTTTTTTTCCCTAATGTTCACAAATCTGATTTATATTTTGTATCTCCAGAACATCTCATTTCACACTAGCCACATTTCAGCTGCTAGAAAGACACATGTGTCTTGTAGCTCCCCTATTGGACAGTGTGGATCTGGACCCTAGAAGGAGGTGCATGTGCTTCCTTTGCCTGCAACCTTGGAGAGCAGTTGTTTCCCAGTAAAAATGAAGAATAGAGCATCTGCTCACTGGCCTTGCCCAGGCAGCTGTAGCAAAGTTTGAGAGTGCAAAATAGGGGCAGGCTCCGTATTTCAATTTTCTAATTTTCTGTGCTCTTTTAAGAATAAGCAATGAGGTACTTCAGCTATAATTGTTCTTTTATCTCCCTTTCAGGCTTCTCCCAGGTGCTTATACACCAGATCCCTTCTCTGTTATGTCAGTTGAAATGTATACTTAATCTTTTTTTCAACAAATGTTTATTGTCAACCACGTTTTAGGCACAGTGGATGCAGCTGTGGAAGATGAGCGAGCCTTTTTCTTCTTCTAACTTATATTCTAGAAAATAATGACTTTGTAATTTTCAGGTGCTAAATGTAGAAACTGAGGGCAATTTATTTTTTAAGAAATGAAAATTGGTTTCATTTTCAAAAACTATCAAAATAGGTTTTTATGGTAAAAAAAGAAAATAGTAAAATTAGACCTAAACCTGGATAAGAGTTCCTCAGTGAACTGTGGTAATAGACTCAGTAAAGGTTAGTGTTCCAATCTCTTTACATGAAAGGATCATTTTTATTTTATACTCCTGTGGTTTGGGGATTGGGTAATGAGAGCAAGAAATGTAAAGTTCAAGTTGATCTTTAGTCTTCATTTTCCCTATTATTTTCTTAAATGTGATGACACGCTAGTAGTCCAGGTCTAAGGACCCTTCTTAAGGGAATTCTGGAAGCTAACTGATTACCCCCCACCTCCCTTAGGTGGCACACAGCTAAGAGGACTTGCTGTTCAGATTTTCATAGAGATTCGGACTTAACGGAACTGATTGGCTTCTCAGTCATGGATTTGTTTTATAAGCATTTATGTAGCCACCACTTTGTGATGGGGACTGCATACTGTGTGTGCCAGACAGGATTTTTTCCCTGGAGGAGTTGGTGAGGTGATATTTACATTGCTAAGGCAGGGTGAACAGAGGAGGGTGAGAGATGGACAGTGAAGCCAGTTTAAATAGAAGGAAGTGAAGATTAAAAAATGAAAATCAGTGTTTTAAAAAGCCATTTTGGTTCTTGAAGAGTGATTTCTAAGGACAGTTATACTGGATAAAAGGGCTGAGAGTGATGTGGCTGCATCTGCGCCTTGGCCAGTGCATACCTGCGGTAATTCTTTAGGTGGGGTGGTCCCGGGCAGGCCTCCCCATGATCCTGCGCTGAGATAAAAGGGATTATAGAGAACTAACCCAGGCACCTCATTTGCTGAATGAATGAATAATCCATCTCTTACTCAGTGAGTAGTTTTGGTAGAGGAAGGTGTCCTCTGATTTTTGTTGTTGAATAGACAGTTTTGATCAGAGAGGAAATTTATACAAGTCTAGTTGGTTAAAAATGAAACAAGTTGATTTGATATGAAAGGGAGTATGTACATCACTGAGATTGTTCAGAGAGAGCAAAACAGGAAGAATCTGGCAAAACTTCTCAGTGTTTATGTTCTTTTCACTACAGGATTGTCAAAAAACCAAGAGCACAATTGCAGTTTTACCAAATAGATTTGAGGTTCAGGTTAAAGATGGATCACACATGTTTCTTTCTGATTGCCTTGAAAATGGGACCTCCATGTTATAATTACAGTATTTTAATGAGAAAAATTATAGAAAATAATAATATGCATAATGTGCAGTGAGTGCTATACAAGATTTCATTGCTGTCAACAGCAGCAGCGGCAGCATATAATTCCTAAGGGTTCACTGCTGTTGTGATTCAGATTCATAGACAAATCAGAGACGTGATAGTCAGTATTCTGTTGATCATGTATTAGGAGAATTCATATTTTATTTTGGAAATTTTGTTAATGATTGGAATGTATTTGCTTACCTTTCTACTTCATTGATATGTGGGTATGTTTTGAAATAAAATGACATTTTATAAAATGTTTTGAAAATATATGTTGCATTAACCATGCCTGTGGTTTCCAGTGTAATCTCTGGGTCATCTCACAAATCTTTTTATTTGTGTCTAAAGTCACATTCCTGGTTTTTTATTTGCCATCCATTGGTGGGTGTCTCTGCCTCTCCTGGCCCAGGTGGAACCTGTCACCTTTCAGTTGCTCCAAACTTTCTCTCCCTCCTAGCTCTCCTTGCTTGCTCAGCTGAGGTACCTCTGTATCATCTTTAATGCCTCTCATGTCTGTCGTAGCAAATCAGTTGCCACATCCTGCCATTTTTAGTGCAGCATCATTTTGCTAAAGCAAGGAAACAGGCAAGATAAAATTAAAGACTTGCCAAGGTTGTACAGCTAAAACTGACAAAAATGGGATTTCTACCCAGCCAGATTAGATTTAATCTCCTCCCCAAGCTTTTTTCCTCTTTGCTAACTTGATGATGTTCTTGGGAGATTTAAATATGTGAGTCAGCATTTTAAAGTAGGAGAAGCATATTAATAAAATTAGAAGGTTGAATTAAAACTAGATGTGGCAGATTCTAAGGCGCAATTTATAGAAACTGTGTAATCTGCAGATATTTTCTTAATGATTTATTTTGTTGTATCTCTTTGGGCAATGGAACATTTTGCTGTGTAGCCATATGGAAAGCTTGTTAATTTGAACATTTGTTTCAAATGGGTAATGCAAACCTTTTGTTTCTGAAACAATTAACGATGATAAGATATTGATAGTAATACTGATATTGCAGAGAAAATGGACTTTTGTCTGCGACAGTAAATTTGTTTTGGTAAATTAAGTTTTTAATATATGGATAATACTCACTTCTGTAGCAGTTCTTACGAGCTACCTTTTGTAATTGTGCTTTCAGAAAGAAAGTGTTTCCATTGCCCACAATTTTCTCAGGAGATTTATTCATTACATGCTCATGCTTTTCTTCTGTACGGCTTATATTTAACGTATACAATCAACAGATAATTACAAAATTCCTACTGTGTTCATGACTAATTTTTATATTGTCTTTCAGTTCTCTTTAAAAATGGAGGATTATGTCCTTCATAACTCAAAAGGCCTGTCTTAAAGGAATATGTGTATAAAAGCATAGATGAAGCTTACCTAAAACCACCGCTTTTTAGTTTTTGAAATTGCCACAATTTATTAATTATTCCATTCATGTTGATATGAAACTCTCAACATTTGATTAAGAAGATTGTATTTCAAAAACTCACAGTTTTATTTTTTTTGCCAGTAAAGAAATTGAAATATGAATGGATAAATTAATCTTCTCTGAGCTAATGACATGCATCCTAAAATGGAGATAAGGAGCTTTTATTGAACTCGTCCAGCTTTGGATTACTTTCAGCTACTAGATGTTTCCATTTGTCAATATGATAACTTACTCTTTTCATTTTATATAATCACATTCCGAAGCCTGGTGAATTACTTACACCATTAAGGAATTGTATTTTATATAAAAAGGAAACTGCTGCCCATTGACTACTAATTGACATGTACCGTTAATCCTTTGGGCAATTAAATACATCGCAAGCCTCCTTGATTGTTGTGGCTTTGTCATATGATGTTATGTGGTTAGGATCTTGCAAAAAAATCATGTAACCTTTGTGATGAGATGGTGGTCATGATTGTCTTATAATGACAAGTCAGGCTAACATTGATTACTTGGTAGTAAGTCTTTATTTTACCACCCTGTCAGCTCTCCATTATTTTGAACCTGGTGTCAGGAATGCAAAGCAGCAAAGGTGATGGCAAATGCAGGCCAGCAGAGGCTGAAGCAGTGTCTGCTTTCTAGGATTAATGATGGTGACTCATCCAGACAGAAAGTGTTTATCATAGGTCCTGAGACACAGTAAATGCTCAATAAATACTATTGCTACTCAAAAAATTTTCATTTGCCTGTATCTATTTACAAATGCTCCTTAAAGGAACGTCTGAATTAATGTTAAAAGCTTTC